TCTCCCACAGAACAGCTGGTAGTTTTGAACTGCTGACCCTGCAGTTCGCAGCCCAATTCATAACCACTATGCTTGGAATACCTAAAAGGGATTCTGGAACCTGCCCAGTGAAATGGGCTTCTTGCAACGACTTTGTAGTGTGTAGGACCTTAGGTGGAATCCTGAGCCCCATGCAAAACCTTCTGGGGCTTGATCCTTGGTATGAAGACTCGTTCCTTCTCAGTTGGAATTTTGAGCTATTACATCCGTAAGTATAGGTCAACTTCATCAAATTGTAGCAATTTACACTTGCGTCCTTTATCAAATGTCCTATTTTCCTCTATGTTGCAGACTGGCCAGACCCAGTCAGGAGTTCGAGGCCCTGTGGGCCCAAGTGTTGCAGATCGTACAGGCCGCTGGCTCTGAGGAACAAACTCTAGCCACTTAGCAGACATAGCAAACTGTTTTTCATCTTAGTATTCAGTTATGTTTATTATTAATTTCATACATGAAGCCCTGATATCCACAGATAAATGTAATATTTTCCTAAAAGCGAGACTGTAAAATTCCAAAAAGGCAAAGTTCTTCCCTCAAAGAATTCAGTCAAAGTAAATTGGGTGGCTCCCCGGTCTTTGTTCTAAGGTCAAAAGAACACCCTCCCTAAAGTGTTTCCAGGTGCAGCCCTATTCACCCAGGCGTCTCTTTTCCTGAGAAACCTGGGCTGGGCAGCCGACTCAATGGGACTCCTCCCAATCCTCCTTCTCCTTCCCCCATTTGAGGCTAGGTGCTAAAAGGTATGTTAATTAAGCGTGAGAAACCAAGTTGCGGTCGTGAGATTCGAACCTGCGAAGTACAATGTAAAGCTGCCTGAATGTCTGGAAAATTACGTATGTTAGCTGTACCTTGTCTTAGTCCCACCCAGCTTTGTGTATAGTTCCTCCCCTAAATAAAACGGAGGCGCAAGACGAATCCAGTGTGCATTATGGCTGGCAAGGCGTGCATTACGGCATGCAGTGGGCTCAGTCCAGCATTGCAACCATACTGCCTGCTTAGCCAAGATGTTTACTATGCAGGATCTTACGGCCCTCATGGCTGAGATGTTTGCCATGCAGGATCTGCCTGATGCCAGTCCCGCATCCACTCTGGTTTCAGGGTGTCTCTTTGTCTCTCTCTTTGTGCCTCTGTGTCTCCTCTTTTGCTATCCCTATCACCGTCAGATATCTCCACCTTGTGAACCAAACACTCGTGTGGAGGCTGGTCCTCGGCACCTCTATTCGAGTTTTGATCATCAAGCTACTGAAGCTAGGTCAAATGGGTACTATCTGTAAGTTTGGGCATTCTTGTGCGTCTCCCCCCACTTCATATCAGCTGAATGCTTCACTCTCGACTCTAGCCCTCTGTGGCTAGGTCAGTGTCCATGGGCTCAGGAGTTAACAAGTCTCCCCCAAACCTTGGACCAATAAGCCCTTCCTCTTCTATCATCTCAAGGTTGACAGGAGTCTATGGAACTTGGTTGAACTCAGCCCCTATCTTCATTACTGAGTTTCCCCAACTTCCACTCAATTGTAGATCAACCCAGTCACCAGCAAGTTTACATGTCTGATCGTGTGTTCCCTTTGAGTTTCAGTCTTGGAGGGGGGTTTGTCCTGAAGGGATTTGATTGCTTTCTGGAGAACAACTTGCTTATACTTGTAGTAGCCAAACAGACTGTCATTTTTGTTTTTTGTTTTTCTTGCTGGTCTTTCTTTCAAGAAGTATCTTCTGTTCCTCTAGCTGCTCTGGGCTGGTGTGCATGTCCTTTCAAGTGGGAATGTCCCACTTAGGCATTGTCTACCTAAAACAGGGGAGGCTAAAAAGGCATGAAGTGTCTGGCTTACAAATTTTCAAAAGTGAGTTTAGTTTCAGTGGGTGGGGGAATGTAGAATGCCCACTGAAAAGTTTTCATATTGTCTAGAAGGGTCTGGTGAAAGGAGATGGGGATAAGATTCTTTTGATTCAATAGTGAGAAATTGTTATCATGACCAATTGTGACTGTCACAATTGTAAAGGTAAAAGTTTTCTAACAAAAATGTAGCGTAGTTAATCTTAACAGTATAGAAACAGAGGACCCTATGACCATCAAGAGAGAAGAGCACAAGCAGAACACAGGACAGTATCCAGAGAAGCAGCAACACCAAAGATGGAGGCAGAGATAAGGACACAGAGAGAAGGAGTAGCTGAGCACTCCAGACTCATGGAAAGAGAGGGACTGGGTGCTGGTGGCCAGGAGGCAGGCTTGCGGAATGTGCCCTTAGGTTGTTTAAATTATTATATATTCCTGAGTGTTTCTGTGTACACCTCTGCCCCCTCCCCCAAAAACAAAACAAAAGCAAAACCAAAAACAGAGAATGGAAGCAAATACTGTTAACTGATGATGCATAAAGATTATAATCATTGCAGTGAAACAATGGTGTGAAGCTGATGTTCTCCCATGTAAACTAGCACTCAATTCACAATAAAAACAAAACAAAACAAAAAGGCCTATGGAGCAGTTTTACTCTGCACACGTGGGATCACCATATGTCTGAGTCAACTTGATGGCAACCACCACCCGATATGTGGTAGCTCTTTTTACTATGATCTAGTCATGCCCATTTTCCTATTTGAACCACTTGTATATATACTAACCAACTGGCCAGTAAACACATGTGATGATTTACTGTGTAGCCAGTCTTTGTAAACTCCCACTGAATGACTTTTTCCTGATAGGTCTGGGTAAGAGAAAACAGGAAAAGATGCTGATGGATTGCATGATTCAGTTGTGAGTAACTGGTACCCAGGCTAATCGTGATTGGTCAGTTTTGTCATCCTGCTTAGTATAAAACGAGCCATCTCTGAAGCAGAGCAGGGACTTCAATACTATCAAGAAGAAAGAGCTAGGAGTGGAGCATTTCTTCTTCTGGGTTTCCACTGAAGGTAACAGCTCTTAGGCAGCTAATGCTAGAATCCTGGACCGTGAGTGACTCGTATTTTTAACTTGTGCTAACTTGCTACTAAAAAGTTAAATGACTTGTAAATATTGTTCTTTACTTTAGCTTTCAGAAATGGTTATGGGCTACTTCTTTCATCACCCACAAAAACACTGCTGCCTCCAGCCAAATTCAACACCAGGGTCAGTTTTTCACGGAAATGCTTTGGTACAACCTTGATGTTACCTGTCCTTCAGATACAAATGGAGCTCCAAGTCAGGTCAAACCCATTGCAACACTTGATTTCAATTCGTAACTACACTTTATAGGGTTTCCGAGACTCAAGCTTTATAAGAGCAGATAGTCTCATCTTTCTCTGGAGAAATGGCAGCTGAGTTTGAACCACCAATTTTGCAATGAGTGACCCAGAGTGCCACCAAAACTCCTGAAAAATAAGATGCAAACAATGAAGTTCTTCCCTGTCCCACCATAGCATATGCTTCTTGGAATTAGTCTCTCGGTTCCAAAACCTGTATAGTGGGTCAAACCACCTATGGGCCTGAACAGCTGTTCTGGTTACCACACTGGCTTCATATCAACCCTGAAGACATGGTGCTAAGTTGTGCACACACGTAGTGTCAAACTGTCAAACACGCATGCAGTGCCTCACTTCCCCTTCTCCAGGACCCTGCCTGGTTCCTGGTCTGCAGGATGACACCACTACCCACAGGTTATCCTCAACTCCATCTTCTCCCGGACTACCATCCAATCACCAAAACTGGTTGATTCTACCTCTAAACTGCTAATTCCTTCTAGTCCTATTAGGAGTCCTAGTGACACAGGGGTTAAAATTCAGCTGCTACCCAAAAGGTCAGTGGTTCAAACCCACTACCTACTTCATAGAAGAACGATATAGCAGTCTATGTCCATAAAGATTAAAGCTTTGGGAATCCCACGGGGCATTTCTACTGTCCTATGGGGTTGCTATGAGTCAGAATCAACTTGCGGGCAATGAGTTTGAGTTTGGGTTCCAGTCCTGTCTCCTAAACTCAGGGTGCCATCATCTGCCTAGACCACTGTCTGAGCCTCCTCATACTTGACCTTAGCTTCTCCAATACTGTCTCTGCACCAAAGCTCAAATGCACATAAGGCCCTTCATAGTCTTGTCCCTTGCCCAGCATTCCCGCCCCCTCCTTACCAAACCGAAGCTGTCCCTATACTCCCGCTAATTGTCCACCTCACTCCTTGGCGCTCCCTAAACATGACAGACCTTTCCATGCCTGTTATGCTGCTTCTCTGACTTATCCTCGAGGCCTCCCCTTAGAGTTCAATTCCTCCAGACAACAAGAGGACACCCAGCTCTACCCTACCTAACCCAGGCCGCCAGATTATGAACTTATCAGATAGCTAGGTGAAGGAGGCCTGGTTGCCAGTGGAACCAGAAGTGTAGAATAACAGAATGTAGAACATTATTCTTCTCACTTAGGTTTAGTTTGTCTTCACTAGTAGCATGGAGAGGTGATTTGTCTACACGAGGACATTAGAACCTAGATTTGGGGATAGAAAGAGATGTACGGTTTTGCTCACACACCAGTTGTAGTTCACATCACTTTTCTGTCTTGGTGACAACCACATAGTGTGTCCCAAGAGAAGTTGGGGTTCACATTCATCACAATGAGACTGGAAGCAATTTGAGAGGAAAGACATTTGTTCACAAGTATGTCCAGACTCTAGCACTGTGCTGACCAGATGCTTCTTGAACCCGTGAGGTTTTAGGTAAGCTTACCAGTGAGAACTGTGAGCTGAAATGAGTGACTTGACTTGTTTTAAGAACTGAGCGTAGAGCCTGAGCCTCACGACTCCCGGCCAACCAGTGTCAGGAGGTGACATTCAAGTCAAGAGAGGAGCAATACTGACAAGTGGAAGCAAATCTTCTGAAGGACACTTCCCCTGTCATCCACAAAGAGCAAACCCTGATTTTAGTGGGCCTTTGAGCAGCTACGTTTTCAATGTGCACATTATCTCCATCTTCCTAGCCAACGAATTTCACATACTGATGCCCACATATAATACCTTTGTCCTCTGTCACGTGGCGAAGTAACTTCTCAAGTTCAGGAAGTTTCAGCAACAAGATACAATCTGGAAATATGTCATCTACCACAACTTGTTCTAGGGGCTGGAATTTTCCCTGAAAAAAACAACAAAACCTACTGTAGTCATTCACAAATTACAAGATGAGAAAAAGGGAACTTACCTTGTGGCTCTGCGTTAAACTGAGGTCAGAGTGACCTGTCCCACATGAGTCCCTGTTGGCACTGTGGGATGGGCATTAGGCTGCTAAACTGCACAGCTCTGAGGAAGGAAGATGAGGCTGCCTGCTCCCATAAGATTTATAGTCTCAGAAACCCTATGGAGCAGTTCTCCTTTGTCCTAAAGGGTCACGTGAGTCGGAACCAACAGGATGGCAGTGGTGTTTTAAGAATCCCTGCACTAAATGGGGCAGGCTACAGAGCTGTTCCCTTTAGGCAGGCTACCTTTAGGCAGGCTACCCCTCAGTTCCCTTTAGGCAGCTCTTATAAGAACTAGAGCTCCAACTAGCACACCATCTCCATGACAGATGGGGCACAGTCACTCCATGAAAGTGGACACAATCCTGGAACAGCAATGGAACCACAGAAACTTACAAAGATGGCAGAGAAGACTTAGGGCTACTCTACTCTGCTGGAGGTGACGAGGAGGCAGCTGAGGACCACAGTGCTGGAGTCCTAATCATCACACAGGAATAAGCCCACACTGGGTCCAGAGCAGACTGCCTGGGTGGTACAAAAAATAAGTGCTGGGCTACTAATCAAAAAGTTGGCTGTTCAAACCCACTCACAGGCACCTGGGAAGAAAGGCCTGGTGATGGGCTTCTAAAAAATCAGTCATGAAAACCTGAGGAAGGGCAGTTCTACTCTGAAACATATGGGGTCACCAGAATTAGACCCAACTGAAGACAACCCATTTGGTTTTGGAGGTTCTGTTGTTGTTTTTAGGGGTGTGCACATCTTCCCTTCCATCCATGGCTGTGAATACCCACAAAGAAAAGTTAAAGAGCAGAAGTAAATCTGGTTCTCTCTAAGCTGTCTGGCATGCTTTCAGATTGAGACCACAGTGAGAGAAAACAACTGGAGGGCTGAGTACAAGCAAGCTGCAGACATACTCATCTCAGGCTCAGACAGGTAAGTGCAACAGGCCTGGCATCAAGGCACCCAGAAGTACAGAAGGAAACATTCACAATCTTATCCTTCTCACTTAGGATTACTTTGTCTTCACTCCACTCGTAGAGGTGATTTGTCTAATTCAGGGGTGGGGAACCAATTTTCTGCCAAAATTTATAAAATCATGGATGGGCCATATAAAATTATCAACTTAAAAATTAGCCTGCTATAGTTGGCCAAACATTTAATTAACTTACCCCAAAAGTGATAGCTGGATCTGCAGTTGCCTTGGCAGGGCCAGACCAAATGATTTCGTGACCTGATTTAGTGGCCACTCCTTTTGGAGGCAGAAAAACTGTATCTGAAGAGTTTATTTCTGGAAATGTAGTTTCTTTCATTGTAAGGGTAAAATCTTCTCAATCATTTGGTGGTTATGTAGCAAGAAATGCCTCAATTCAAATGGTAAGAAAGATTCACAAATTTTCCAGGTCTTATGGTCTTCAGATTTCTACTGTAATCTGTATTGTTTCATGATCAACCAAAATTATTTCCCCAACAGCAATACTCTGTTATGATACAATTCCCTCTTGCTTTCTTTACTACACATACATAAAAACGAAATGCAAAAAAACAATTTGCACTTTGAATATAAAAAATTGGGAAAGCTTGAAAGTAGAGTGATTTTAACTGAGGTTAAAGTAAGTCTGGTGATACATTTCAAAAATGTTTAACTTCTTTTTAAAAAGCTCAGTAAGAAAAGGTCACTTCTAAAATATAGGGACTGAAATAACTCATTGTCTTAGGTTTTACTTTAAAGGATCTCCTGAAACACTTGAGACAAGAAAGTAGAATGGTTTAAATGGAAAGCAAACCAGCCCCCCTCGGAAGAGGGCTAAGCCAAAGGAGTCCATAACCACAAGAATGGGAGGGGGCTTAAAAGTATATCAATAGGTGCACTACGGTTAGTGGTGGTCTCTCTACGAATTTATCCTAAAAAATATGATATATATAAGCCAACTTCAGCATTTAACTCCACCATGGACACTCAGGGCCTCCTTGGTGGTGACTGGACTGACACCCTCATTGTTTATATAGCCTAATTATATTAGATACCAGGGTAGCTTCCAGATAAAGGGAAACATGATCAAGAAATACAATTTTGCCATGGAATGGTCAACCATTCAAGATCAAAGTGCAACATTTACCCAAGGAGAAAGTTCAGAAGAATTGGGAAGGAGGGTGGACTGCCCACAAGACCCACAGGGAGAATTCGGGACAACTGCTGTTACATAGAAGGGATTGTAATCATTGAGATAAAACAAAGTGTATGATTTGTTGAAGTAAAACTGATGATCTGCTTGGTAAACTTTCACTCAATCCCCAATAAAAAGTTTCTTAAACAGAAATACAATTTTACTAATTCATATACATGAGTCCCTGGGTAGAGCAAACAGTTCACACACTTGGTTTTTAACCAAAAGGTTGGAGGTGATTAGAAGAGAAGCCTGGCGATCTATTTACATAAAAATCAGCCATTGAAAACACTATGGGACACAGTTCTACCCTGACACACATGGGGCCACTATGGTTCAGAAATGACCCAACAGCAACTATGGTTACTCAGACTTTGGTATTTAGTAGTAAATCGGTGAAAGTAACCCGCCACATTAAGGGAAAACTGATAGTATTTGTATCCAGTGATAAAATTTCAACTTTGAAGCAATAGTTTTGTTATGTGCCATCAAGTTGGTTCCGACTCAGAACGACCCTGTATACAGTTTTCAAGAGTTGGTAGGTTTGAACTGGTGACCTTGTGGTGGAGTTTATCCTACAGCACCACCATGACAATTTCCAAACACATAGAGTCTTCTGATGAGATCAGTGATGATATTTAAAAAGGTGATTTTTTAAAAAATAGTATTTACATTGCTATTTGGATGATGAGCATATAGTTTCCAAGTAACCAATGTATGATGCTACAAAATGGGATCCATTCTCAGTGAAAGTTGAAAAGTTCACTGTTAGGATTTCAGATTCCACATTGACACTAACCTTTAAGAAAAACTTTTGATTTTTAGAGTAATATTGAAGAAGAGAATTGACAATTACCTGAAGTTTCTTTTTTTGAATACAGGGTCATGTATGTCTACTAAGCTAGACATTAAAGAGATTTTCAAAGATGTAAAATAATGCTACACATCTCATTAAGTGTTGCTATTGTATTTATATGTGTGTTATTTATATTAACATGCTTATTGTTTATTTTTAAATAAATTAGTAAATATATTATTAAATATGTTTTAATTTCTAATACAGTAAATGTTGATAGAACCCACAGAAACAAACATTATTTATAATACTTAATTTTTAATAATATAAAGATGTCCTACAGCAAAACTGTTTTAGACCGCTGGCTGAACTATTACTATTAGTAAATTACCTTAATTTATATTATAAAGGTAAATTTTTTCCAACGAGATTCCATAAAGTCTCAATTGAAAACTTTCCATTAATAAACTAGCCTCATTCTCCCTATTACAGTCTCTCACAAAGAAAATGAGAAAAAATAAGTCTTTCTTCCTCAAAGCCTGTGGTTAATTTAAAAGAAAAACAAACAAACATCTTTAATGTATTTCAAATCTACTAAGTACTTAATGATACAAGTTTTCATTGTTAGACTTTGTCAACCTGTTGTTATGTGCCGTGGAGTCAGTTCCGGCTCACATAGCTAACCCTGTACAGGGTTTCCAAGGCTGTAAATCTTTATGGAAGCAGAAAGCCTCATCTTTATCCCGCGGAGCAGTTGGTAGTTTCGAACTGCTGACTCGGATGTTAGTGGCCCAATTCGTAACCACTACGCTACCAGAGCTCCTTGTCAAATTGGTAAGGCATAAAGACCAGACGACACCCAGAGGTCTCTTGTCAAGCAACCTTAATTAATCACCATAGAGCTGACCAACCATGGTGACTTCATGTTTGTAATAGTAGATCGGGTTCTGTAAGGCTTTGAACGGCTAGTTTTTTGGAAGCAGATTGTCAGTTCTTTCTTCTGAGGCACCTCTGGGTGAATTTGAACATCACCATCTGTACCACCAAGTCGGGCACTGGCTCTCAGCGATTTGTGCCGGGGCACTCTGGTAGCGTAGTGGTTACGAGTCGGGCTGCCAACCGCAAGGTCAGCAGTTCGAAACTACCAGCTGTTCCGCAGGAGAAAGATGAGGCATTCTGCCACCATAAAGAGTTGCAGCCTTGAAAACCCTGTACAGGGTCACTATGAGTCAGAACCAACTCTGTGGTACTTAACAACTACAACAACTAGTCTGTACTGGCTTTTTACGACAATCAAATTAAATCTGAAATTTGAAGATCTGTATTTGGATAATTGAAAGGAGAGAACACAGATAAATTAAAGAACTATCTATTTTGTTCCTTCAACAGTTAAGACAACATAGAAACTCACCTCTTTATCAGCCTTTATAAGATAGTGGAGAACCAGAAATAAAGGATCCATAGGGGTGGCAAAGTGGAGATGACCTTCTACAGAATAAAAAGAGAACAAAGAGAATTAAATGTCTTGGGAAGACAATCTGGTTATTTCATCTTAATTCCAAAGGGGAAATAATTCATTGAAAATATATTTGAAATGCCAAATTAAGTTCTTTTTACATAGGCTCAAGATATCTATGATTTTCTCAAAAGGCAGGACTTGGACCATGTGATTTTACTCCACAGATTTCAATTCGAATCCCTGTGTGGAGAGGAGAGCCACAGCACTGAAATGGATCCTTAACTTTCTACTTTCTCCTCTGGAAATAATTTTCAACAGTTGCCAACAAAGGAAGGGAAAAGACCCATAGACAGAACGATAAACTAGACAAGTATTAGGAAACCTGTTTGAGTAGGCCAGGCTTTATATAAGGCAGCAGCAAAAGGTAATTTCCTGTGCTTTTGGGGACCTAGCCATGAGGAAGCATTAGCTCTCAGTCTGCATATGGCTTCTCTCAGGTCTGCTTTGCAGTGGGCTCACACTGTTGAACAGGCCCTTGACTCAAAGCTCATAAGGCCACGAGCCACTGCGCTCCCTCTGCCACTGGGAGAAAAAGGCGAGAAATTGGACCTAAGCAAACAGAAGAAAAGATTCCTGATGCTTTTCAGGCTAAATGGAGCAAAGGGGAATCAAACCAAAGCAGCACAGCTGCTCCTCACTAGTCTCTCCTCTGTCTCACTCCCCTCCAAGCGTACCAGACTCCTCCCATGAACATGAAACACACTGGGGGTGGCTGAATGGGGGGGTTCCGTGGTAATTCTTCCCATGGACAGGAACCATGGGGAGTGGGGGGGCGGGGGAGACATTGCACCAAAAGTAACAGTACACATTTCATTTACTTCCTCAAAACTTGCCAGTTTTGGGTTGGACTGTATTCCCTAAAGTCCTATGACTGTGTCCGTGGTATTTGGAAATGGAATCTTTAAAGATGTAATTAGTTAGGGTACAGCCATAGTGAAGTAAGGCAGGTTCTAACCCCATGTGAGTGCTCTCCTTATAAAAGAGCAGAAGAGACTCAAAGAAAGGACAGTCATATGACACCACAAAAGCTAGGAGAAAGGCATGGAACAGTATCTCTCTCAAGAGCCCTGTGAGGAAACCAATAACACTGATATCCTGTTTGGACTTTTAGCCTCCAGAACTGTCAGATATCACATGTTTGTTGTTTAAAGCTGCCCACCTTGTCATATTTTGTTATGGCCCCCTAGGAAGCCAGTACACACCTGCAAGCAAATTTATTCTCTACAAGAGCAGCCTATTAGTTGTTGTTGTTGTTAGGTGCCATCAAATCGGTACTGACTCATGGTGACCCTAAGTACAACAGAATGAAACACTGCCTGGTCCTGGGCCAACCTCACTACTGTTGCCACACTTGAGCCCATTGATGCTGCCATTCTGCCAATCCATCTTGCTGGGGTCTTCCTCTTTTTCTCTGACCCTCCACCTTACCAAACATGATATCCTTCTCCAGGGACTGGTCCCTCCTGACAATATGTCCCAAGTATGAGAGACGAAGTTTGGCCATCCTGGCCTCCAAGGATCACTCTGGCAGCCTATTGGAACTTTCAATATTCTCCTCCAACACCATAACTCAAAAGCATCAATTCTTCTATGGTCTTTCTTAGTCACATGCATATGAGGTTATTGAAAATACCACAGCTTGTGTCAGGCGCACCTTACTCCTCAAGCTGACATCTTTGCTCTTCATCACTTTAAAACGGGCTTGTGCAGCAGATTTGCCTAATGCAATACATCATTTGATTTCTTGACTGCTGCTTCTGTGAGTGTTTTTCTTCATAGAACCCAGCTTCTCAGATTATTTGCTCATCATACAGGTTGAATATGTATGGTGAAAGAATACAACCCTGTCACACAAGTTTCTTCACACGTTTCTTAATTTTCAACCATTCAGTGTTCCAATATTCTGTTTGAACAACTGCCTCTTGGTCCATGTACAGATTCCTCATGAACACAATTAAGTGTTCCGGAATACTCATACTTCGCAATGTTGTCCATAGCTTGTCATGATCCACACAATCAATATAATACAGACCAAAATTCTACACCTAAGTATATATGGATAGACAGATATGCAGACACATGAATCCATTTTATAGTAGGTAAAAAGAAAACAAAAAGGAAATAATTTCATATTGTCTGTCACTGCTTGATTAGTTAAAATAATAATAATAATAACGTAGAAGAGACATTTATAAAAACAACTTTACCAGACCAGCTCATTGTATAAGGCATCCATTGTATTGAAGAAAACAGGAAAAAGTTTTTGGTCTGAAAACAATCCTCTAGTGGCCACGCTTGAAAACAGCTTTTTCTTCAGGATTAAATTTACAAAGAAAAGAACGATGTAAAAAACAGGCAACAATTTGGCAGTCCAGGGCAGATGATCAATACTTTTTATTTTAAATCTAGATATTACTAGGTCTCGGAAACCCTGTACAGGGTCGCTATGGGTCGGAACCGACTCGACGGCACTTACAACAACAACAAAATCCAGTCAAATATAAGTGCAAGTGCATCATGTTAGAAGTTAGAACTCAATATTACCAAAATGCACAGACTACCCTGTACATTTTGGAAACTGAAAACTATTTCAAATCTTCTCGTGTACACAAGTTTATAAAATGCAGCATTGACAATGAAATCTTCCTCTGGAAATCCTTAGAAGATAGCAACTTAGGTGTTCTGCCTTATCACCAAGTGGTGATATACAGTCAATAGCAAGCCGAGGGATTAGGAAGAAACTGTGAGAGAATAGGCAGACAAAATGCCTGTTGTTCTTGTTAGTGGCTGTCAAGTCAGCCCCCAACTCATATACAATTTTCACTGGCTGCTTTTGGAAGCAGGTCACCAGGTTATTTCCTTCTAGTCTGTCAGCTCCACTGAAACGTGTCCAGCATTACAGCAGCATGCAAGCCTTCAATGAGAGGCAGGTGGTGGCTGTACATGAGGTACATTGGCTGGGAATCGAACCTATACAAGGTCACTCACTATAACTTGGAAGCGACTCAATGGCACTTAACAGCAACAACAATAACATGGTGCCAAGGAAGGGGGACATCCAGGCCCAGACCCAGGCCCCAGGCCCAGGCTGAAAGCCCTGCATGAAGGGTGGACCAGTTGATGAAAACACACACATCATGTCACTCACCTGACTGAACGGACTGATTTATGAACCAAGAATGGTATTTCTCCTTGAAAACTTTGATTTCAAACAGCTGCTGTAGACACATATCAAACAAGTAAATGGCTCCTTCCCCTGTTAAGACAAATCTGTTTTTTATTTGTAAGTTTTCACATTAAAAAATGAAAAAAAAATCTAAAGACTATCCAACAGTTTTGAGAAATGTTCCTAAGAGGAACATAAACATACATAGATATATTCTATACAAACTGACTCCAAGGAAAGCTTACCGCTATTATACACAGATGCTTGTTTCCCAACCATATGAACCCCACTGGACTAAACACAAAAATCATTTATCTTAACCACTCAAATATTTTCACTGAATCCTCCATCAGAGTAGGAGGGAAAATTCATGCCTGCACTGTCAAAACTAATGATGCAGACAGCAGCTCCCCTGACATAGGGGACCAGAAAGGGGACAAGGCCAAAGACCAATCAGCATGCCAAAGGCTTTTCAACATGCTTCATGCTGTAAGAGATGTAAAAGACCAGTTTAACTGCATGGATTTCCCCCTTCCATTTGCAAAAGAACATTAAAATGGGGTAGGATAGAGGGTGGGATGTGAACATCTGCATGTTTTAGCCCTCCAATTCATGAAGTATTTTTCTAAACCTATCACAGTCTCTGGAATCAATAACCCTGAGCTTAAATCTGTCTCTACTATATGCAGGTCATGTGCCTTTGGGAAGATACATAACCTTTCTGTGATTCTGCTTTCTACTTCTGTAAAATGGGGACATTACTGAATCTACCACCATTCATCAATCAGTTTGTTGTACTATGGAATCTTGTGTGCCACAATGATACTGAAAGCTATGCCACTGGGTCATTCAAATTCTAGCAGGTCAACCAAGGTGGATAGGGTCCAGCAGAGTTTCCAGGTAAGACAGACTAGGAAGAAGGATCTACTGATCTACTTCTGAAAAAAATTGGCCAATGAAAACCTTATGAACAGCCAAGAAAATAGTCTAATACAATGACGAAAGATGAACCCCTCAAGTTGGAAAGCACTCAAAATATGACCAAGGAAGAGTTACTGCCTTAAAATACAGTAGATGGAATAAAGCTTTTGGGACCTTCATTTACTGATGTGGCACAATTCAAAATGAGAACAGCTATAAACATAAATAACTGGAATGCATAATGTATGACATATGAGTCTAGAGAAACTGGAAGTTATCAAAAATGAAATGGAACACATAAAGACCAATATTCTAGATATTAATAAGATAAAATGGACAGGTATTGGCCATTTTGAATGGACAATTTTATGGTCTACTATGTGCTATGGGTTAATGTGCCAGACTGCAAAGCCGTTTGAACTGCAAGGTAGACAGTTCAAGCTCACCAGCTGCTCCTCGGTAACCCTATACAGGGTCGCTATGGGTTGGAACCGACTCGACAGCACTGAACAACAACAATGCCTAGAAGGACAAACTGAAGAGGAATGGTATCACAGTCATTGTCAAAAGGACATTTCAAGATCTACCCTGAAGTACAATGCTGTCTGTGATAGGATAATTGTTATATGCCTACCAGGAAGATCAGTTAAAATGATTGTTATTCAAATTTATGTAACATCCACTAAAATCAAAGATGAAAAATCTGAAAATTTTAACCATCTTCTACAGACTGGAATTTGTTAAACATGCAATCAAAAAGATGCATTAATAATGACTGGTGGTAAGGACTTCCAACAAGGTGGTGGACTAGGCAGATATACTACAAAAACCCTCTGCAACAAAGATGTTGTTGTTAAGTGCCAATGAGTTAGTTCCGACTGATAGGGTTTCTGAGGAGCGGCTAGTGTGAGTTCAAACCTTGCAGTTCAAATAGACTTTGCAGTTCAGTGCTTAATGAAACAGACACAGATGAAAATTCTGGAAACCTGAACTTCAGAGGAAAGGTTAGAGAACTAGATTGAGTGCTGGGGGGAGAAGGTGAGCAGGGACAGAGAGAGAGGGAGACTGAGTACTGAACAGCTGGTCAAATGCAGCATAAGCATTTTGAACTTTTATGAGCAGCTTTGGAAAAAGAAGGTGGCCTGGCACAGCAGATTCACACAGGTGAGGGGGAAAGTACAGTTCCATTTTTACCCCACGCATCCTGCTGACCAGAAGTGTGGCCAGCTCCCACCCTCATCCACCCCAGCACAGACCCTGCTATCCAGGAGTTCCGAGTTAGGCCACTGTGAGGTAGTGCCTGGCTATGCCACTTTGGTGTCTACATTAAGGTAGGCTAGGCTCCAGATTTACAGAATGCATGGAGCCACCAGACCAGCATTAGTCTAGCAGAAATCAGCATTAGTCTAGCAGCCACTCTGACCCTGCAGCCCTAAGATCCTTAACAGACACTGAAACCAGCTCCATCAAGGACTTCCACGAACTACCGCTGGATTGAGTGCCTTGAACATAGTAACATCTAGATGCCTATAGGAACTTCATCTAGGTTCAGAAATTCCACTGTTAAACCCAACTTGTAAGATCCTTGGCTAGCAGGAGCGCCCCCCCCTCCCCCGAATTTTCTCCTCTCCAGGTCCAACAACTGCATTGTTTTTGTTTTTGGCATTTTCCTTTCATTATTTTGTTCTTTTTGCTTATTTATTCTTTTTTCTCCTTCTTTCCATTCCTTTGAATTTTATTTTCTTCTGTCACTGCTTTTGTATTTCCTTCTCTTCTGTTTCTCATTTCCCCTCTTTTTGTTTTGGTTTATTGCTTTTAATCTTTTACTACTTTACTGGAGCTCTGGTAGCGTGGCGGTTACGAATTGGGCTACGAACCACAAGGTCAGCAGTTTGAAACTACCAGATGTTCTGTGGGAGAAAGATGAGGCTTTCTGTTCCTGTAAAGATTTACAGCCTCGGAAACTCTGTACAGGGTCGCTATGAGTCAGAACCAACTCCACAGCATATAACAACAACTTTCTTTCTCTTTTCAACTTCCTACTTGCTGGTTTTTCTAAGTTTTGTTTTGTTTTTTAATCTCTTAATTTTTTTTTTCTATAGCTCCATTTTCCTGTCCCTTTTTTCTCTTTTTCAGTTATTATTTGGGTTCTTTTATTTCTGGTTGGTGCCTGTTTTTGCTTCTTTTTTTCTCCTTACTATTTTGTCTTTCCATTGTTGGCTGCTTGTTTCTTTATTCTATTATGTTTTCTGGTGTGTGGAGATAGTAACTGTGCTCATACAGCCCAACCACAACTGTACCTTCTGGCGCTGTGGGTTAATGCGCCAGACTACAAAGCCGTTTGAACTACAAAGGCGGTTTAAGCTCACCAGTGACTCCTCGGAAACCCTATACTGGGTCGCTATGGTTCGGAACCAACTCGATGGCACTTAACAACAACAATTTGATTGAAAGCTTTGCTGTGTAGAGGATTCTTGGTTGGCAGTTTTTTTTTTTTTTCTTCCAGGGTTTTATATATGTCTCCCCATTTGCAGTTCTGCCCACTGGACAAGAGTCAGTAACAGTTCCTATATCACCTCATCAACAATGGACAGCAAACGACACCAGCCAACTCACCCTAAACTTGGGACCATAATTATAAAAAATATATATAAAAGTTGGTGAAAGACTAGATAAACATATCAACATGTTTGTTGTTGTTGTTAAGTGTCATTAAGTTGGTTCTGACCCCTAGCAACCCTGTGTAGTGTTTCCAAGGAGCAGCTGGTGAGTTTGAACCACCAACCTTGCAGTTTAAAACTACTTTGCTTGCAGTCTAGCGCATTAACCCACAGTGCCACACAATTCCCAATTAAATGTAAATACTACAACACCACAAAGTACCAGAGACAACAGACTATTTTAGCTCATATGAAGAAAGAAGAGAGAATGCTCAAACAAATGACTAAGATGCAGCACCAGAAAACATTTCTGAGGAATAAAAGGTAATGGAGCTAACTTAAAATGAATTCAAAAGAATAATATTTAGCTATCTTTAAAGAATTAAAAGAAAGATCTAGGTAAGCAAGAGAACACAGAAAAAACTTTAGAAGAATTCAGGAAAGCACTACAAGAATGAACAGACAAAATAAATGCAAATTTTGGAATAATGAAAAATCTGCAATTATAAATCCAGAAGATTAATACCAAGATTTCAGAAATGGACAATACATTGGGGGGCGGGGGGGGGAGTATATTTGAAGCAATGGACGCCTGGATTAGGGAGTTTGAAGATAAAATTCTCAATAATAGAATGCTAGAAGAACAATCAGAAAAAAGAATGAAGACTCCAAAGAAAGCCTAAGAGCTAGGTAGGATACCATGAAGAATAACAAGAGTTATATGGGATATCATGAAGAGGTGACTAGAATTCCTGAGCAGGAAGTGACAACAAAAAACATAGGGAAAACGGTCCAAGAGTTGTTGGAAGAAAACTTTCCTAATATCATGAAAGACCAGAAGATAAGCACATAAGAAGCTGAACGAACCCCAAACAGGATAGATCCCAAAAGAAAATCACCAAGACATACCATAATCAAACTTTCCAAAACCAAAGACAAGGAGAGAATCCAGAGAGCAGCTCAAGAAAATCGAAAAGCCTCCTACAAGGGAGAACCAACAAGACTAAGCTCTGCTTTCTCAGCAGAAACCATGCAGACAAGAAGGCAATAGGATGACATATATAAAACTCTGAAAGAAAAAAAAAAATGCCCACCAAGAATCATATACCCAGTAAATATGTCCCTCAAACAACAGCAAAATTAGGATATTTTCAGATAAAGATATTGAAGGAATTTGCAATAACCAGACAAACTAAAAAAAAAAACAAAAAACTAAAGGATGTCCGTTGGACTGAGAACCACAACAGCAGACAACAACCTGAGATTAACAAACATGACAGCACCATCAAGAGCTCAACCCAGATAAAGAAATATTTAAAGTAAAACAAGCCTACAAGACTGAAACTAGGGAACGAGAGATGTCAATTTACAGCAAACTTAACTACAAAACAAAAAGAAGGAATAGTGTAGATATAGAACTTCTAAACGGTGAGGAAATCATGTAGATTTCAAGAAAAAACAGCATTAACTGTGGGAAAACATTAATAAGTTACAGGGTAACCTCTAAGA